TGGCTGCCTGCAGTGGGCAGAGTCCTCAGCACTGCTGGTCGCTGGCCAGCTCCTCCAGGCTTTCTCCCTCGGCCAGTGTCCCCGTGGCCTCTCTGATGGAGGTCCCTCTGGCCTCTGTTGAACATGATTAAGTGATGGGTCTTGTTACCCCCAAGGTATCCCGTGCTGATGGTTAGAAAAGCCTCGTATTTACCTGGCACCAGCTCAGTCTTTGTCCTTTTCCACAAGATCCTCGTGATTCCTCCAGTTATTTGAAGGCCTATTCAACAGATGTTTCCAAGGATAGTTGCTTCAGGCTTATTAGCCTGTGCTTTTTGGAATTCATTGTGTGGCCTTCTCTGGTGAATGGTGGCAGATGGGTAGTTAGCAGATGTGTGGTGTCCCCTGCCTGGAATGCTCTTACCCCTTTTGCTACACTCCCTAACCTGGTTGACCCCTGGTTTTGAAGTTCAAAACCTCACCTCCTCCAGGAAGCCTTCCTTGACCACCACCAACCCACAAGGTCAGGACTCACAGCTTCCTGCACTTTTCTTCCCTGTGCTTTGTCACAGGGCCTGGCTATGTGTCGGTGAAATTATCTGGTGAACATCTGCCTTCTGCATTTAACTGGGAGCTTCACGAGAGTGAGGACAGTGTCTCTTTCACTGATTGTGTCCTTCCTGCCTGGCACACAAAGGATACCCAGGTGCTGGGTCACTGGAGGATGGAGTGCCGTTGTAAAGACTGTGGACTGTCTCCAACAGGGCCAGACTAGGAGTTTCCTTAACAGAACGTTTCCCAATATTTTTTTCCTTTTAAACCTGTATAGATAAGTTATTATGTCCAGGCACTGTCCTTGATGCTTAACTTATATGATCTCCTTTAAACACCACACCAGTTATACCCATTCTCAGGTTGAAGTGGAGGCTTACCCAAGATCACAGAGCTTGCAAAGAGCCGAGCTGGGATTTGAGCCTAGTTGCTCTGGCCCCGTCTGAGACTTGAGCTCTGTGTGTTTGTTCTGCTGGTCACACAGGGCCTGTCTCTGTTTCCACTACCCCTTACCCCCCACTCCGAGATGGAAGGCAGTTCTATCTGGACTCAGTCCTCGCAGGCAGGGTCCGTACTCATGGTAAGACACCCCCACTTGTGAGTGCCTCATGGTCTTCATTTTGATTTTCCTTGATTTTGGTTTGTGTGTTTATTCATCGGTCAGCCCTGCCTAGCATCTCAGTTCCAGAGAGGAAGCTTGTGGAGTAACTGTCGCTTTCAGAGCTGCTGTCCCAGCAACATTGGGACGCTCACCCTGTCACAGGAGTCTGGTTTCTCAGGCCTGTCTGGCCTCTGACCAGGGAAGTTCCTGACTGGGCTGGAGAGCAGATCTGGAACACATCTGGTGTCTGAGGTGTTCGAGTCTTCTTCCCCTGGCAGAATCTCCTGAAAATATTTCGAAGCTTTTAATCAGCTTTTTGTGGTAGTTGAGTGAGGGAGGCTGCTCTTTTTTCCTTTAAAAATACATTTATGTAAAAAAGTATAAATCAATTTAAACAATAATATTGACAATCCTGTTGATATGGCAAAAGGAGACCCAGTACGGACTCAAGTTTCAGCAAGACTGAAGTGGACTGTACTACCTACCCCCCAACTCTTTTTGTTGGTGACCAATGAGAAGTCCTATTGGCCATGCCCCCCGAGTGTCTCCAGACATGGACAGCCATGCCTCAGTTCAGAACACTGATCTACTCATTAAGCTTTTGTTGGTCGTCAGCTAAGTGCCAGTTATCAGCACGGGGCCCCACCCTCAGGGAGCTCACACATTCTGGAGTGAGATAAGAGGTAGGGCCAGTATAATGCAGTCAGGTGCATGCCTTGCTGGGGGTAATCAGAGTGTGCTTTTGGAGGGCCCCAGAACCGGCCAGGGGGTTGAAAGGTGGTGATGCCCTGAGCTGAGTCCTGAAAGACTGGTCGGCGTTGGCCAGGAGATGTAGGGACATAAGCAGGCGGAAAGGTCAACACGTGCCCATGCGTCACCCTGTCTGAGGCCCTCCAATCCTTTCTCTGGATCCATCTTTCCATTTAGTAACATGGTCCTCTTCCCTAAAGGACTTCCTTTCACATTTCTTGTGTGTGGATCTGTTGGTGAGGAAGACTTTTAGCTGCAGATATCTGAAAACATCTTTATTTCACATGTTTTTGAAAGATAGGTTTGCTGGGTATGGAATTCCAGGTTGGTGTTTTTCCCCCATTTCAGTACTTGAAAGAGGGTGCCCCCGTCTTCTCACTTGATTGTTTTCAACAAGAAATCTGAGGTCTTGTCTTTGTTTCTCTGTACATGACATCTCTTTTTCTCTGGCTGTTTTTAACATTTTCTCCTTGTCACTGGTTTTCAGCAATTTGGTTTATGTTGTGCCTTAATGTACTTCTCTTCATGTTTCTTGTGTTTGGTGTTGGTTGGGATCTTGGACCTCTGGATTTATCATTTTTATTGCGTTTGGAAGTTTTTCAGCCTTTATTTCCCCAAATATTGTTTCTGTCTCCTCCTCTCTCATCTAGCATTCAGGGACTCCAATTACATGCATATTAGGCCCCTTAGAGTCATGTCATAGCTTGCTGATGCTCTGTTCATTTTTTTTAAATTACTTTTTCTCTTTGTGTTTCATTTTGGATAGTTTCTATTGCTGCCTTCAAGTTCATTAATCTTTTCTTCTGCACTGTCTAATCTGGAATTATTGTCAGCCAGTGTATTTTTCATTCCAGACATCCTACCAGTCGGGCAGTCGGGTAGTTTTCATCTCTAGAAGCTTGATTTGGATCTTCTCTTTTATCTTCCATGTCTCTGCTTAACTTTTGGAACATATGGAATGTGGTTACAGTAACTGAGGTAATGCGCTCGTCTGCTAATTCTCACATCTGTGTCAGCTCTGAGTCAGTTTCGATTGATTTTTCTCATTATGTGTGATATTTGTCTTCTTTGTGTGTCTGATCATTTTTTCTAATTGCATACCAGACATTGTGAATTTTACGTTTAGGGCTGCTGGATATTTTCGTATGCCCATAAATGTTTTTGAGCTTTGTTGTGGGAGGCAGTTAAATTACTTGGAAACAGTTTGATCCTTCCAGGTCTGATTTTAAGATTTGGGAGGCAGCGCCCGAGCAGAGGTTAGTCTAGGGCCAGTTATTCACCACTCCTGAGGCAGGATGCTTCTGAGAAGGCTACCCAGTGCCCTGTGAATGATGAGATTTTCCAGTCTGGCTGGTGGGAACAGGCCTGATTCTCAACACTGTGTGAGGTCCAGGCACTGTTTTCTTTCATTTTTCAGTGTGCTGCTTTCCCTAGCCTTGGATGGTTTCCTTGCTCGCACGTGCTGATCAGCAGTTGGCAGAATGCCGCATCATTTGGGGACCCTCTGCAGATCTCTGCATTCCTCTCTGGGTAGCCCTCTCTCCCAGATACTCTGTCCTACCAACGCCGGCTGTCCGGGTCTCCCAGCTCTTGGCTCCATCTCCTCAATTCAGGGAGTGTGCCAGCCTCCACCTGGCTCCACCCTCCCTGTGCGTCTAGAAGCTCTGAAGGGAGTAAGTGGGGAGTCGCAGGGTTCCTTGGTTCATTGGTTTCCTGACTCGCAGAAATCGTCCTTCATCACTTGATGCCCAGTGTCTTGAAAACCGTCGTTTCATAGTTTAACTGCTTTTCTAGTTGTTTCAGGTGGGAGAATACATATACCAAAGGCCGCTTTTTGAAATGATATCCAGGCTATGAGCATTTCCTGTGTGTGTGTGTGTATTTTTATTTGCATGTTATTTTGTTTTTTATAAGTAGTATCTCCACTGTTGAAAGTAAAACCTTCTAAATTGTGGGCTACAAAGATTTGCCAAGAGATTTACTTAGTTTTGATGGCCAATGAACACATGAAAAGATGTTCAGCATCACTAATCATCAGGGAAATGCAAATCAAAACTACACTAAGATACCACCTTACTTACGCCTGTTAAAATGGCTATAATCACTAAGACTAAAAATAACAAATGTTGGAGAGGGTGTGGAGAGAAGGGAATCCTCACACACTGCTGGTGGGAATGCAAACTGGTGCAGCCACTATGGAAAACAGTATGGAGATTCCTCAAAAAACTAAAAATACAAATACCATATGACCCAGCTATCCCACTACTGGGTATCTACCCAAACATCTTAAAATGAACAATCTGAAGTAAATATGCACCCCTATGTTCATTGCAGCAGTATTCACAATAGCCAAGGCATGGAAACAACCCAAGTGCCCCTTGAATGATGATTGGATAAAGAAGATGTGGTATATACATACAATGGAATACTACTCAGCCATAAAAAGACAAATTCATCCCATTTGCGATAACATGGAAGGACTTAGAGGGAATTATGCTAAGCGAAATAAGCCAGACTGAGAAAGACAAACACCAGATGATTTCACTCGTATGTGGAATATGAACAAACACATGGACAGAGAAAACAGTTCAGTGGTTACCAGGGGAAGGGGGTTGGGGGGGCACAGCAGATGAAGTGGAGCACTTATATGGTGACAGTCAAGCAATAATGTACAACTGAAACCTCACATTGATGTAAACTATTATGAACTCAAAAAACAGAAAGAGATTTACTTAGTTTTCACAAAAACAACAGTTGGCAAAATAACCTGGTTACACGGTGTTGAGCTGCAGGTAGAATTCAGCTTATGTTCAAGTGGAGGCGAGACAGTGTCAGCCTCATCACGTGTCATGGGCACCATATCACGTTGATGTCTGCTGATCGATTTTAAATGGCCTAAATATGCACCATTCAGAGTGTCGGCCCATGGGGGCCAGTGGGAGACATATTCAAGGTGAGTTGACTTTTAATCAGTGCGATGACAATATTACTTTGTTTAATTTGTATTATGGTGGTTTTAAACATCAAGTCAAGCAGTTTATGATGCCAGAAAGGATGAAGGAGCACAGGAATAAAACCCTTCTGCCACCTTTTCTGAGTGCATTTCGCTGTCTGACAGGCCGTCATGATTGGGGACGATATCGTGGGTGACGTGGGCGGTGCCCAGCAGTGTGGAATGAGAGCGCTGCAGGTGCGGACCGGCAAGTTCAGGTGAGTCGCCGCGCGGCCTGGTTCCTCAGCCTGCCTGCCTGCCTCGTGGATTCCCCGCGTGGCCACATTTTTCTGTTTTGTTCTTCAAAATAGAGAGGGTTATTCTTTCCAAGTAGAAGAGCAATATGTGGGCATCTGCTGACTTTGACGTAACTGTGCTCTAAGGACGGGCCTGCCTGCCCTCCTGTAGCGGAGAGTGGTAAGGGAAAGCAGCTTTTAATCCGGTCCGAGTTTCGAAACTAGGATGTGCATAGCTGTGTACCGCACACAAAAACAAAGGCTCCGGCGACGCAGGCCCCGCCGGCAGCCAGTCTGGCGGGACTAGAGCTGCCCCATTTCGGCAGGGCGGTGGGATCCTCCGCTGCGCATGCGCCTGCAGGTTACCGCTGTGGGCGCTCTGCCCGCCTCGTCACCCTCTTTCTCCTTCTGCCCCGACTTCTCTGATCTGCAAGAGACACAGAATCCAGAGGCGACAATCCTCAGTCAGGGACGCTTGGAACTGAACCACCGCCTCCAGAGGAGCTTGTGTCTTTTCTTGGTCAAAAGTCAGTCTGGTCGTGAGCAGGTCGCTGATGGGCGCCTGTTGGGGGTCGGGCGCTGCGGGCACATGGGGGTGCCCTGTGGTGACCGGCTCTGGCTCGCTTGGCTGTTGAGAGTGCCTTAGATGTCAAAGTGTTGTCTTGCCTTATTCTAGATAGTATCGTTTGTGGCCATTCAGAGAAAGGACAGTTTTCTGGATGCTGGAGAGACTTGGTTAAAACATGGCTACCCAGGGGTCCTTGGATTTGGAGGGAGGGGTTGTTACCTGTGTCCCTAGCGATCTGCTTAGACAGGGTCAGAGAAATATATTAGAGGGCTGGCTCTCACTCTGAGGCCCCTCTCCTATGTGAGGGACCCAAAGAACTTGTGGGTTGGGGCCATAGATGGACATAAGGTGAGTGAGGAAGTCTCGGTGCACCTGGGGTTTGGGGCCAGAAAGTTCTGGAACCCACCTCCTAGACCATCCCAGAGCACTAGAGGCCCTCTTGGAGCCCCTGGCACGCCTGAAATATGGAGCTTCTTTCTTCCCCAGGTCCTCAAAGAAGGGTTTCCTGAGTCCCCTCTGCCATGTCTGGCCTAATTGAGGAGGGAGACCCTACTCACAAACCTCAGAAACATTCTCTCCAGGAGGGCAGCTGGGGGCCCCAAGGTCCCTAATCTCGCCTTTCGCCCAAACTTGCAGGGCCTAGTCCTATTGCTGAGCAGTGGGACTGGGCGCCCTTTAGGTAATGCTGTTCCTCAGTGCTGCCTGGCTCGTGGTGCCGCCCCAGGGTCACTGTCCCATCAGGAGCCCAGCCCAGCAGCCAGCACCTGCTCAGTGAGCATCAGTGACTGATAAACACAGGAGGGACACCTCCTTATTGAAAACACAGCAGTGTGGCTCTGAAGGAGGTGAAGAGTGAGAACTATGCGGTGTTTTGCACAGGATTTCTGATTTCTTGGGGAGAAAACATATCTGTCCCAATTGAATGTGAACTCACTTGGGGGTCTTTCTGGCCAGCCTAAGCTGTGCCCCTATAAACTGAATGTACTGGCCCTGCCCTAGGCCCCAAGAAGGCTTCTAGGTTGCTGGGACTCTGAAGAAGGCCCACACACACAGTGGGGAAGCCCACAAGTGGGCAGGGGGGTGTGTGCGAGGCTGTATCCCACCATACACCACCAGGGTTGGCACTTTTCAGTCTCCCATGACCCTGTCCCCCGGAGAGAGAAACCCCATTAACGGATGGCCAAATCCTTCCAGACTGCCTTCTCTGTGTAGATAAACATGTGGCTAATATTTTGGTTTTTTTCTTTTTACAAAAAGGGATTATATTATTTCATAACCAACTTTTTTCTTGAACGATGTTTTATGGCTTATTTTCATGACTGTTCTTCATAATTTTAAATACCTAAGGAGATACTATATGTAAGTCCTCTTTCCTGCCTGGCACCCAGCAAGCCCTCAGCAAAGGTGAGGTGATGATGGATGGTGATGTCCGTCTCACTTTCAGATACAACCACCTAGCCCTGAGTGGAGAAGATGAGGCTTTTCTTTTCTTGATGGTATTTAAAATTTCAGATTTTTTTTTTTTTTTTTTTAGGAAGATTAGCCCTGAATTTACTGCCAGTCCTCCTCTTTTTTGCTGAGGAAGCCTGGCCCTGAGCTAACATCCTTGCCCATCTTCCTCTGCTTTATGCGTGGAATGCCTACCACAGCATGGTGTGCCAAGCAGTGTCATGTCCGCACCTGGGATCTGAACCAGCGAATCCTGGGCCACCGAGAAGCGGAACCTGCGAACTTAACCGCTATGCCACCGGGCTGGCCCCAATTTCAGATCTTTTGATTTGCTTGTTTGTAAGGACATAAATCTGCTTTGTTAACTATGCAGGATGGAGGGAGGAGAACTGTCGCTCAGTTAAGGTAGCCAGTGAGCCACCCACGGGGGAGGTCACCCAGCAGAGCAGGAGGCCGGGTTCTGTGTGTGAGAAAGCAGGCGGGAGACGTCTCTGCCGTTGGCCACTATATAAGGCCAAGCTGTCTGGTACGGTAGTCACAATCTGCAGGTGGCTGCTGAGCGCTTGAAATGTGGCTGGTCCTAATTGAGATGTGCTGGAAATGTGAACTACTCACCATATTTCAAAGACTGAGTGGGAGGAAAAGAATGTGAAAGAGCTCATTCATTCATAATTTTTTGTACTAATTACATTGAAATGTTGAAGTGCTGATATTTTTATCTTTGTTAATGTGGCTACTAGAAAGTTCTAGCTTGCCTCTTCGGCTCACATTAGAGGTCGGTGTATTTCTGTTGGACAGAGGGGCCCCTGCACTGCCCCCTTCTCCCTGCAGATGGCACTCTTGGAGCGTGGACCGTACCCTGGTCGGGGCATGGCCAGCTGGCCAGACCGGCTGTGTGCTCTGCAGCCCCTAAGAGGTGGGAAATCCACAGAGGCCTCCGTGGCACCCTGCATTGTCTCTCTGCAGATGTGTGTCTGGCTCAGGGCTGGTGAACAGCCTCAGAAGTCAGCCAGCACCCTCGCCACTGAGCAGCGTCCCTTCCTTCCACCCTTCCAGGCAGCTCCTTCCCGGGCTGTCCTGGCCCACCCCTGGAGCTCTCCGCCCCTCTGTTGAGCAGGCAGCACTGGGTTTGGAGGTCAGCATGGCCCATGTCTGCACAAGACGTAAGCCAGGCAGGGGCAGAGGCTGTGTCCCATATGCGAGCAAGGTGTCTCCTTCCTGTGTGCTAGGACCTCTCCTCTGAGAGGCCCTGCGTGGCCTCACAGGAGCCAAGGGTCACTGGATGGGTCAGCTGGGCCTTGGAAGGTCCCATGTCCTCTCTTGGTGGCCTTGGGCTAGCCTTGGCTGAATTGGGGGCTGGGGGGCGTGGAGAATGGCCTTGTCATGGGCAGAGGTGCAGAGAGCCGTGCAGTGAGTGGGTTTGGCGCTTACCTGGGGCCAAGGGGCTTTTCTGCTGGCTTGAGGCCCAGGGCAGGATGGGGAGGCTGAGCCGAGTGCGAATCTGGGCACTGTCAGTCTGTAGCACTGGAAAGGGAGGGAGGCTGGAGGGGGTGACATAGGGCCTCCTGATGGCCCCGCTGAGGATGCCCCCTTAGGCCAGTGTTTTCTAGTTGTGCACACACATGCACACACACATATGTGCTTGCACACACACATGAACGATTCTGTTTCTGAGGCAGCCAGTCAGATGTCTGCTGGTGGGTGTGAGATCTGGACTTGCCCGTGGCTGTGAGATCTCCCTGTAACCTTCCATGTCTTCATCCCCCTTGCCTCTTTCTGCTTTTATCACAAAATGGCCCAAAGAGAGGAGACTGAAGCCTCAGAATTGGAGAGGCCACAGGGCGGCCGCAACTTGGGAAGGAGGGCTTCGAGGGCCTGCCCCGCCAGGAAGGCTCAGCTCCTTCGCAGGAGGGGCCTCGCACTTTGCCCAGAGGGCTGGGTCACTATGCCAACCCCACACGTTCGGGCAGGAGAGGCTCACAGGGCAGACGGCTTGCAAACCTGCCCCCGCCCAGCAGGCGACCTGAGCCGTGGATGGAACGACACAAAGCTTTCTTTTCATACCTGCTCTATTTGGAAGTCCAGCCCAGCCAGGGTGCGGCCCTCACCTGGCTGGCAGGTGAAGGCCTTTTGGGCCTTCTGCCCACCTGCCTTGTTCCTGGCATGTCTGACGCATTGGGTCTGTTGGCAGAACCGTCCTCCAGCCTGAGGCCAGGAGGCTGCTACTCCTCCACACTCCTTGAGATCCCACCCTGACCACAGGCTCCAGACACACAAGGGTGTTTCCTTCACTGGGGGCCCTGTGGCCATTGCTGGCAAGTCTTTCTGGTCCCAGTGTGTCCTGGAGACCCAGAGGGTGCTGGCTTGTGCACTACCAGGGGCCTTTTCAGATGAGACAGCTAAAGCCTGGCCCAGGGCCACCTCGTGACGGTTCGCAGAGGTTGGGCTGGAGCCCGACTTCTCCTTCCCTAGTTGGGTGCCTTTGCCACCACCTTTTTCCTACTGGGAACATCCTGTCCTTGTGGTCACATTCTGCAGCCATAGCAGTCACGGTCCCAGCCTCGATTCAGGGCCCAGGCAGGGCTCCATGGCTGACTGATGGGCAGCTTGGCTGGGCGGACCGGTTCCCCCACTCCCGGGCACTGTAGCCCCCCTCCTTTTCTCCCTCCTTCTCTGAGGGACAGGCCTCATCTTCCATGGGGGCCGGGGCTGGCTCCTGTGTACCCCATTCTGGAAAATTCAGGCAAGGGACACTCTTCCCAGTTCTGAGACGGCCTGTCTGTCCCCAGTGGAGGAGGAGTAGCTGGCAGCGTGTGTGACAGAGCCTTCATACCTCCGTATGTCCCCACCTGGCCCCTCCTGGGGACATGCCACAGACGGGATAGTGTCACCCTGAACTGTCCCCACATCACTCTGTTCCCCATTCCACGCTGCACACCACAGCCGGCACCCGGGTTCTTAGGCA